CACAAAACTCGGATAAAAAGCACAAAGTGGTAGCTAAATGAACCTAAACACCCGACTTTTTTGCCCTAAGAAATTAGGACAGTGAACTGCCGGCTCCCCCCTGAGAGTTCAGCCACAGGCAGAGCAGGGCAGGAGGCACCCAAAGCCATGGTCCTGCTCCCTCATCTCCATCAGGGACCCCCACAGCCTCCAAGAGCAAGAGCTGCACATTGAGCTCAGCGATATGAAAAGAAAACCACAGAAGAAATGGATCTACAGCTACAAAAGCAGCAGGTGAAGGAATGGAAGCAGCACTGAAAAGGGAGAGAAAAAAAATCCCTGCTGTTTCCTCCTTTTGGACAATTCTTGAATTTTTCTCTTTCAACACCGTCCTAGTCTAAAACTTTCCCTTTTGTTCAGCTACAAAAAGCAGCTGGAAAGAACTTCAAGGGAGCAGGGGAGGTAGAAATGGAAAGAAAGCGTTCCCATTTCTGTGCTGCAGAAATGCACAGGAGCTTTTTTAGCAGGAACAAACAAAAAGCTGGAAGAGGTGGATAAAAATCTCTGTGGGTTGTGCCTCGCAGCAGCCACGGCTGCCGGCAGCACTGGGAATGGGCACCACAGCCCAACGCAGGCTTGAGCCAGCCCCAGGCGCCCAGGTCTTGCTTCAGTCACCTGGGCAAGAGGAATAACAAAGAGTGTCCAAATATTTTATTCTTCACAAGTTACAATAACCACATATTACTTTATGGAGCATTTACAAATCAGTTTTTTCTTGATTTTAATCTTCAGATGTACCTGCTCGCTCACACCCGGTCTCCTGAAAAGGCCTTTTCCACCCCACACCTCCACACCTCCAGGCCAGGTGCTTCATGCCCAGCAGCCAAGCCATGAACATGCTTTCCCCACCATCACGTAACTGCTTTAAGAACAATTCTGAGGTTGATAAAAAAGGCTCCTGCCTCGACTAATGATGTCGAGGGGAACCAGCCGTAGCTTTCTGTGGGCCCAGAGAAAGACAGGGGTGATTCCAGAGTGGTGGAAAGCTGCCCAAGGTGGCTACAGGAGATTTCCCCTCATCCCATACTGAGGTGTAACCTCAATCCCCAACCTTGAACCGGCAGCCACTTTTTTTTCTTACTATCCAAGCAGTATTTTTATTTCTTCTGCTCTCTACTCAGGCTCCCTCTATTCCTACCATTAGCACAGTCAACCAGGTTGATTACTTACATGCATAAAAGACAGATTAAAAAGGCAGAAGATAAAAACAAACCCTTTTAAACACCAAAAACATCGTATCTTTCTTACCGACCATCTGACTAGTTCACAGATTGGATCACTCCAACAACATAGCCATAATTACTAAACACTAAATGAATTTTGTCAGGACCTGGAAACACTAAAGGAGCAGTCGTACACGGGTGCGTTTGGCCTGGCCAGCCCCAACTCCACCACATTTACATGAACCTTCGAGAGGTGACCACCAAACTCCCGTGCGTTAACAATGCTGGCAATGTCGCTACAGACCTGAACAAGAAATGCAGTGAATCTCATCAACAGAAACCCTGTTCCTGGAGGCGAGAGGATCCCCTGATCTCCAGAGTATTCAAACACTACCATCCTGTAACTGGCAGGAAGATTAAACAGGGCAGGATGGGGGTTAGGGAGGACTCGAGCACTTCTCTGAAGTGGCATGTGGGCAGGAAAGTGGTGACGTCCTGTAGTGAAGAATGTGTCGTTCTTCAAAAACGGGTTAAAAAATTCCCATGTAGCAAATAACATAGAAATGTAACAGCGTAGTTAATTTTCCGAGTTTCTTTAGAAAGACTGTTGATGCTGGTTTGTGTTCAGCTCGCTGGATCTTCCAGAAGAAAAAAAAGACTAATGGAAAGGCAGAGGGGGAGGAGCAGGGCGAAGACTAGGGAAAG